GAAAGTGGTGAAACACAGGCTCCCTTTCTGCCCACACCTGCAGGCTTCCAGTCCCGGTCAGTAAGCAGAGGTGAAGCATCAGATAGACCCCTAAGGGTCTGTGCAGGGCCAGAGCAAGGTCCCCAGCCCGTCCCGCTGTCCTGCCCAAGGACTCACACGTCCCCAGCACTGCCTGCCCCCCACACAGAAGGCAAGGGCTGTTCTGGGGTTAGAGAGAGGCCCTGGCGCTGGAACCCAGCCCAGGTTCTGCCAAAGGCTCCAACTGGGCAGCTCGACTGGTATAAGAGGCACAAAGAGGTCACAGGCGGTCTCCTGGCTGTGCAACACCAGGGTGCACCAGGAGCAGCTCACAAACACGAAAGACAAAAGAACTGGGAACCAGGTGTGAGCCTTTGGGGTACTTACACCCAGGCAAGCCTTGGGCTGCACACAGAAACAGCACCTTCTGCAAAAATGATACCGTGCAGTGCCACCGCATCACCTTCACATTACGCAGCCACGTTAAATAACCTTTTTCAGTGACAGATCCCTAATCCGATTAGACTGAACACAGTTCAATATAATATTGTGTTGATGTCTCTCTAATCAAGCAGGACCCGGGCAATTAGGAAAAACATCCTGACTGCGGAGCCTTTCAGAGAGCAGCGTGCTAGGGCTGGCTCACCTCTCCAGCAGGAGGGCTGGCCAGAGATGACAATGGCCAACACACTTCTATTGGTCAGGAAGTTTCCATCTCCCAACTATTTCCTCACCAGAAATTAACAGTAACCCAGGAGGTTTGAGGGAGAAAACGCTGTTAACAATGTGCCTACAGGCTATTTTCAGGCTCAGTGGAGTATCACACAGGGCCAGGCCTATCAGATTAGCACTCAAAGATAATGAGTGCACATTAAGCATTTTTGCAATTTCATTATCACGAAGATACAGCAGACTTAATTCCTCCATGCCTTCCCAAAACACCGGACCTGGAAGATGCCGTATCTGAAATAATGATGAAAATTCATCCTTCCGACAAACGTAATTTATTAACACCTAAGATTATAAACCGTTTTATACAGGCCAGCTCAGTACTGGAACAACCAGAGGGGAGCAAGGGGCCAGAGAAGGGCTGAGCCCGGCCTCGGGGACCGGAGGGCGACCGTGCCGAGCCCCGAGGAGCCGCGCTGGCAGAGCAGGCACCCTGAGCACCGGCTGCAGCACCGCAGTCCCGAGAGACCCCACTCACTGCACACCCTCCCCCAACAGACCCCACTCACTGCACACCCTCCCCCGACAGGAACCGGGGAGCAGGGTGCTCTCAGCCACGGTGTGGGCTTTTCCCATTCCTGGCTTGTTCTGCCTCATTTCATCTCCCGCACACGGAGAGCTCAGAAGGCCAACTGGGAAACTCCAGATTAAAGTCCAATCTTCGCTCCATGAACTGAAAGATTAAGTAGTAGATTAACAGTAGATTAAAACCAAGAGCTGGAAACCGTATCCCAAGTATCTACAGAGAATCCTTCCGAGTGCGTTTGGGGCTGGGGGAAGCAGCAGATGCCTTCAGGATCAGCCATTTACAGAGAGACAGATGAAGCACTTCGACACACAGTGGGAACAATAAATCATCGCCGGCTTACAATATGTAAGCTGTCAGATAGACTTCTATGATTGTTTATTTATGTCATTTAAAATGCGCACAAATACTCACAAGAAGTTGTTTTACCATTTTCTCTGTACAGCAAAGATTATTTTTTTCAAACTACAGCCCTTCAGCCAAATCCACTTCAAAACTGAAAAACACTGAATTCACATTAACTCCCCGTGTGAGCACCGTCACCCTTTCTGCTCCTTGATAAAGGAAGGGAGACCCCAAACACCCAAAGTCCCGGTGTCAGGCCTCTCCCCGAACAGCAGGGTAGGCATGGGAAAAACATTTGCATTTTTGTCACAAATGGCAAAAATTCTGTGAGCCCAAGACATAACCACCTACGCCTAGGGAAAAAAAGAATATACTCAGTCAGAAGAGCTTCCTCCACGAAGAAACCATGCTTTCTTCGAAATACAGAGAGCTCCTAAGGAATACAATTACACGAGTCTAAAGACAAATCAACTTTGGTTTTGCATCTTCCCAAAGTATCATTATTCACCTGAGGTTCTCCAGCGCACCCCCAAATGAACCCACACTGGTAACAGAACTATTTGAGAGGATACATATTTTAAGTGCCAAACCAGCGTTGCAAATGCCCCGCACCCTTTAGACACTGAGCTACCCCCAGCCCTTCCAGCTGCCTTACAGCAGGCTTTGATCAATAGTTTGCCGACATTCAACTATCAGATTTTTTGGAGCAGAAACAAGATGTTCAATATGCAGTTAACTTCTTCATGATAAGCTCTCCTCTTTGATTCCTCCCTCAGAGATCCAGGAAAAGCAGAATACAAAGACTACATAAAAGGCTACGTGTTCAGCTTTAAAAGCAGAATTTCAGATAACCAAAGAAAATATTCAGGTATTTGTTATACTACTACTATGAATTACTTTCCCAGAGCTATTTGCTGGGTCTGCCACCAACTCTAATGAATCACCAGCGTTACTTTATGTATTGTTTGAAATCCTGGGGAACAGATGAAAATCTATTATTTCCTGGAACCGACTACCAGGTTAAGTGATTATAAATTATTGCTACTAGAAGTAGGAATAACCATCCAACCAACCAATCATTTTAAAAGAATAGTGAGACTCAATAATTATTCTAGTCGTGGATTATCTTAAGAGAGTGCAAACAGAAACGTACGCATTAGGAACGACTAATGATGAAAAGTTCAAAACACAAACTGTGTTGAACCGCACAATATTTCATCACAAGCATTAGGGGCCCAATTATAGCTTCAAAGCCTGGCTGCAGTTAAAAAGAAATTAGTATTATTGTCAGTAAACCATTAATTACTTTGTATCTCTAGTAGCTTCCTAAATGACTTGTAAATTACCATGTATTTTTAATAGCACTGTGAAAACTGTGTCACTACGGAGCGAAATACACAGGAGTTATAACAGCCATCTCGCAAACTGTATTTATTATATACATGGTCTTCAGACACACAAATCAGGGACTGATTAAGAAGAGCACAATTAATAAGGCACAATCTACTATCACACAATAAAAAGATTTCCCAACTTCAATCCCTTTTTTCCATTTCAGAAAGGCAGGAATTCTCCCTGGACAAATAAACTGCTGGTAAGGAGCGGGGCACAGGAAAACTGGTTAGTTGTGAGGGCTCCCAGCTCTGCCGAGAACCATCCACCCCTCTGCAAACGGACTTCAAATGGAAACCAGTTGCTTAATGCCTAGAGCACCGCTCAGTGTAACCGGGGTGACGCAGCCGTTAATTGGGTTCAGGAAACACAGTAATTGATGGGATTCATCACGATTGCTGCATTAGCCAGAAGGCAAGAAAGGGGAAAACAGAATTAAAAACCCCTGTAAAAAGCAGCGAATCTTCACCCGATGTACCTTAACTAAACCTGCTGTAAACTAAGCTAAACCCTTAATGCTGCATTTAGGACCCAGGCCCGTGTGCTCGCTGAGGTCAGCAGAGCTGTTGTCAGCAATGAAAAACCAATGCCAAAGAGCAAAAGTATAATTTCAAGAAAATGGGCTGTTCCTTATTAGAGCAGAGAGGGAACATACGGAAGGATCAAACGCATCTTTGTGGTGTACATTACTCTGATGAAGGCTGTTATCACTCGCATCACAGAGGAGTCTCAGACTGATAACGCAGCAGTGAAGTATTCATCTTTTTTTCTTTTATCTTCTCTGTCAGCGGTTTACAATCATGACAAACTATGGATTTTTTGTAACTTTTTTAACTTCCTAAATTCTTTTCTCCAGTGGCTCCTACAGTGCCTTCACAGCTACTTTTTATTGTAGGATGCATAATGAGATCTTATCAAGGCAAACCCCCCCTTTCATTTCCATCTGTTTGTATCTGGTACCTGTAGCCCCAGCAGACTCGAACCTCAGTCGGGCAGATGGGAGTGCCCAGATCAAAAATCACTGTATCCAGAGCAAAGAGCAGCCACGGGAAGAGCTTTGAGGGGTGTGGATGTGCCAGCAGCTCTCGGGGCATCGCACACAGCGCAGGAGCTGACATGGGTCCCTGAGGATCAGCCCATCACACCCAGACTCCCCTCAGCGAGGGGGAACAGCCGGGGAGCCCGCCGGCCAGGTAGAGGCAGGGAAGGCTTGCATGGAGGAGTTCACCTGCAATTAGGACTCCATCCCTAATTAGGTTACCAGTCTAACTCTCCCACCCCCCCCGTGACCCGCAGGAGCTATGACCCCATCCCTCACGCCGTGACCTGTCCCCACACCATCCCACAGGCTCCAGCAGATGCCAGCATCGGACCCACCATTCCCAGCAGTGTCAATGTGTTCTCCAGGAGATGTGTAATTAAAAACAACGGGAAAAGGGGTTCCTTTCCCTAAAAGCCCTCGGGTGCCCTCCACATCCCAAGGCCACGGCAGGCCATGGGTATGGAGCCGGTGAGGGAGACCCTGTGCCTTCCTTCCAAACAGAACCCCACTGGCACCACCACTAGAACCAAAAATTCACTGAACTCAGTGAAATTTTGAAAAAAAAAAAAAAAGGAAATAAAAAGGGGCGAGGCGGCGGGGCACACAGCCCCATCCCCCTCAGCCACGGAACCACCTCACGGGGCAGTCCCGGGGCAGCCCCCAGCCAGCTCAGGGCTGGGGCAGGCCCTCCTCCTCCGTCCTGAGCTCCGGGCACCGGCAGGGCCTGAGGCGGCCTCCCCCCCGGGCTCCCCGGCGGCCTCAGGGCCCGAAGCGGCCTCAGGGCCCGGACCGGCCTCAGGGCCCGAGGCGGCCTCTTCCCCGGGCCCCCGGCAGCCTCAGGGCCCGAGGCGGCCTCTCCCCCGGGCCCCCGGCGGCCTCAGGTCCCGAGGCGGCCTCCGCCCCGCTCCGCCCCGGCTCTTCCGGGTCCGGG